CATGCTTCCTTGCCGGACGATGCATCATCGGTATTGGCCAGGGTATCGCACTGAGTAAGTCTGCCATCGGTGGTGTTCTCAGCAGAGATGACAAAGTTCTTACTGACGCTGTCTTGTTCAGCTGCGGGTCCCATCTATATCGGTGAACTAGCACCCCCGGAGATTCGTGGAAAGATCATGACGTTCTGGCAAATGTTCTACTCGGTGGGCTCCTTCATCTGCTTCTGGGTGAACTACGCGTGCACCAAGCACTCCACACACTTGGGCGAGTGGGATTGGAGAATGGTTGTCATCTTCCAACTTTTGGTCCCCGTGATCATTCTCTTCATCTTGCCTACCATTCCCGGTTCGCCACGTTGGTAAGCGCTATTGTGAACCCACTTGAAGTACCCTTATTTACATCCGCACAGGTACATCCAACGCGGTAACAACGTTGAAAAGGCCCGCAGAGCGCTGCGCAGAGTTCGAGCAACCGATGACGAGGTTGAAGACGAGCTGCTCAGAATCCGCGAGGCCATCGAGTACGAAAAGGAAGCTATCTCTGGCACTTACGCCGCTCTGTGGAAGGACAAGTCCCTCCGCAAGCGCATGTACTTGGCTCTTGTCATCAACGCCGGCCAGCAAGTCAGTGGACAGGGTACCTTGAACACGTACTCGACAAAGATCTACGAGAAGGTTTTCAAGAGCGCTAACCAAATCGCGCTTATCAACGCACTCAATGCCACCTTTGGTATTATCTTCACTCTGAACGCCATCTGGATCATCGATCGATTTGGACGCAAGTTCCTCCTGATCGTTGGTGGCATTGGTATGGGCATTTGCATGATCATCGTCGCAGCCGTTGAAACAGAAACACCCTCACCAGGTGGGGCGAAGACAGAATCAGTCGGCATATCGATTGTGTTCTTACTTTTCTTATTCATCTTCTTCTGTGAGTCCCACCGATTACTGCATCCATCAAACTCCCTACTAATCATCTTAACAGACAAACCCTCCTGGGGCGCTACCATCTGGATTTGGACATCCGAGGTCTTCTCCATGAACGTCCGCGCCCAAGCCGTGGGTATGGCAACTCAGACCCAAAACGTGGCCAACGCCATCGTGCAGCAGTTCTTCCCAACCTTCCTCAACAACTGCGGCTTCTACGCCTTCTACATGTTCGCAGGCATTTGCTTCCTCCTCGCTCTTTTTGTGTTCTTCTTCGTCCCCGAGACCAAGCAGGTTCCGCTGGAGGAAATTGATGCCCTCTTCGGCGGAGCCAACCACGTCACACAGGGTGAAGACCTCTTCTCTAACGAGAAGCAAATGCGCGTGACGCACCAGGATACGGGAATGGAGAAGCCCAGTGCTGTTACTGTGGAGGATGCGCGGCGTTGATTGATCGAAGTATTGTCTGATTTACGATAATGATGTAAGCCATGTGGCATTGGCGGCATACGTGAGCAATTCAACCTAAGTTGAATTCTATATACCATTCCCCTTCCTTCACCTATACCGTACACACCATCCACCTCCAAAAATAGTAGTATATAAACGTAAGGAAATAACTACACAGCTCACCTCCTATAAACCGTCCTCGTAACCAATCCCCCACCCTCAACACCAACACCACCACCACTACCACCTTCCCCAACCACATTCTCCCTCACCACACACTCCCACTCCACAACCGACACCCCCTCCATCCGAAACACATACTCATACTTCGGATCCCTCTCCTTCTCCCGATCCATGGGTCTCGCCCCCGCCGCAGCCCGAACCACATATCTCGACTCATTTCCCCTCCCCGTTTCGCTAGTAGTATTAGTATCCTCCTCATCGCCAGAAGCAGGGGCAGGAGGCATAATCCGCTCCGCCAACCCCACAAACACCCCATGCGAGAACTTCCCCGCATGAAACGGATCAATATCCACATTCCAGATGAGGATTTGGCCGTTCTTCTTGCTCCAGGTTCCTTCTGTGAGGCGGTAGATATAGCGTTTCTTCATCATCTCAATATTGCTGTCGTTATTGGTGATGGTATTGGTGTGATGTACCTCCTCATATACATATTCCTTCTCGTACCAGATACTAGATGTGCGACGGGGATGGAAGGTAGCTGTTCCTGTGACATGCGAGATCGGGGATGAGCGGGTTGGTGTGGGCAGCGATGTTGGTGACGGGGACGGTGAAGGTAGGATGTGAGTGACGGTGCGTGTGTAGGTCCATTGTCCGTGGAGGGCGCGGAATATGGCCATTCCCATGCCGAGGTTGTAGTTTGTGGGGCTGGGGGTAATGGTTCGGTGGAGGGATTTGAGGGTGGTGGTGCTTTCGCGCGCGATGAGGGTGGAGAGGCGGTCTGTTGTTGGGGTGGGGAATAGGTAGGGGGTCGGGATGTAGCGGGAGGGGAGGACGGGGCCGTGGTTTATTGTATCGTTGTGGGTGGGGTTGTTGTTGTTGTAGGGATTAGTTTGATAACTGGTGGTGGAGGATGGGATAGGAGCTCGAGGGATGTTGAGCTCGCGGGCTAGGGTTTCCATTAAGCCTACGTAGTCGCCCATTGGGAATTGGCTGCGGGGAAGGGTTGTATTGCGGAGAGTGCGGAGGAGGTCACGTTCGTGGGTCTTTTGGGTGAGTTCTTCGTTGGTGAAGTAGGGCCCTGTGAAGGAGAGGTCTTTGGCCCATGTGTTTGCGAGACTGCGGGCTTGCATTTCCATTGCGCCCCAGTAGGGGCCGCGGTAGAAGCCGACGAAGCCGAGGTCGGGGATCTCGGCGTGCGAGGTGCCTTTGCCGTCCAGGATGAGGGGGATGAAGGGGTCCGTGGTGGAGTATTCGAGGGTGGAGAGGACGGGCGAGGGGAGGAAGCTGAGAGATGAGAAGGGGGTGTAGCCGGTGGCTGTTATTATGGCGGTGATGTCGGATATGGTTTCTTGGGTGCCGTTGGGTAGGGTGATGGTGAGGGTTGATGGGCTGTTGATGTTGGATACTCGGCCGATGGTGGGCTTGATGAAGCCGGAGCGCACGTATTCGGCGTAGTCGTCCCCTATGCCGATCCATGATGGCTGCGGATCTTCGCTCTCGTTGCTGGGGATTCCGAAGCTGCCGATTTTTGAGTACTCGCCGCCGAGGAGGGAGCGGAAGTAAGCGTTTGTTTTGTGTATGCGGTCTGTGGAGAGCGGTCCGAGACCGTATTCGACTTCGCCGGGAGGGCGTCGAGCAAGATCGTAAAAGACGAGGTCAAGGGGAAGGAAGTGCATGTTTTGCGTCTTGGTATTATCTTGGAAGCCATCATGGGGCAGGTGGGTAGGTATCGTCCAGAAAGGTCTCGAGGAGATATGATGGACTTCGTAGTCTCGTCCGGATTGTACCACCGGGGGTTTGTAGTCCATCGTAGACAGATGAAGCGCTACCGTCGAAGCAGCTTCTACTCCCGACATACTGCCCCCAATAACGACCAGCTTCCCGCCCGAGGACCCAGTCCTCTCCAGCAGCCGCTGCACTTCGTCTATAGTCTGCACTTCGGAGCTGTGGACAACCCTATCAGCGACCCCAGCTAGACCAGGTATATCCGGAAAGTGAGCTTTGGCAAAGTATCCAGACGTGACGACCAGGTAGTCGAACTCTTCGGATTCCATCTCAGGTCCGTTGCACTCAATGCCATTTGCATCTATGCTGTAAGCCATTAGCCACCAGCATCATCTGAACGATAGATTAAAGAAGACACACCTTCTCGAAGTCCACTGCACCGTCCACCTCGCCCTCAACCCATCCGTCTCCCGAACCGTCCTCACAACCTCCTTTCCCAGCCTCAAAACCCCCTTGGGAATATACAAATTCGTATATTTCTCTAGATACTGCCCTACCTGTCTCGCCTGCGGGAACATCGACAGCTCCCCCTCCCCAATGACAGACTCCCACGCCAGATCCGAGAAAGCCACCGTGAACCGACTTAGGTTCGTCCGTATCCACGGGTTGAGCCGTCGCTCGGCGCCATGGTCAATCGCCGTGGGCCAGAGACCACCAATTCGGCTGTTTTTCTCGAAGACGCTGGGGATGAAGGTGCCCTCGGGGAAGCTGTGCAGGAGGGTTTTGGCTGTTACTAGTCCCGAGGGGCCGGCGCCTGTGGAGGGATGTTAGTAGATGGCTTTAGGTTGGGTGGCGGGGCGTACAACTTGCCGATGATGGCGACTTTCTTGGGTTGGACCATTATATGTACAGATTGTTGTCTTGGTCCAAGACTTGGTGGTGAAATGGAGGAAGAACGATGGTGTGGAGTTGTTGTTGAGCTGGGCGGTTAGATGTTCCCTTTCTTTCTTTCCCCTCAGCTGCTTAGTTACTAGTTTACCCCTCATCTTATCACCGCGCGGCTGGGGAATGAACCCCTGTTCGCTACTATTAACGTTTGGAAGATGCAGGGGCATGGAGGCGCAAATGTAGTCATTGTTGGTGCTGTTCATAGGGTTTAATTTCGTGGCAGTGGATAAGTGGTAGGTTGATTTGTTGGTGATATATATATTGTGACAATATTATGCTCACAGAAGTGCATACTAGTGAGAGACCTTAATGTATGCTCGTGCAGTAGTGGACGCATCATCGAATTAGTGGCGGTTCCAGTGCCACAAGCCTTATTTTGTATGTTAATCTCAGCCACCTGACAAGAATAACAACCAAAACTATTATAACATTCTAGCAACAAACGAAAGGATACCTCTAAGATATGCACTCCATCGCCCCAAGCACCATGCTATACAGACAAACCCGAGCAACAATCAGGTGGAAGCAACCGATCAATCAACCGCCCATTAAACCGTAGATCCGCAAAAAAAAAAGCGCCCTTGAACAGAACTGCTCAAGCCAAAAAGGAAGTTCAATCATCCACATTCATGATCATCATAGCAAAGGAGTCAAGCGAGAAAAACAAAAAGTGAAACGGCCCGAGCCGCGGATCGAACGCGGGACCTCTCGCAGATATGCTTGGGTTTGTATCCCTAAGCGAGAATCATACCACTAGACCACCCGGGCGTTGCTTGTTGAAACACGGTTTCCTATTTTGCTCTACAAGAGGAAGCAAAACGCACGCTTATTATGTCCAAGTGTCTTGCCTCTAGCGCCGACACCTGCATGCATGGCTGCGTCGTCGAGTGGATCAACCGTTATGCCAAGCACAAATCTCAAGCCGAGTGAACAACTATTTTCATGGGTACCGGTCGGACAGAGTGCTGAGACAGTCGACTGAACAGATGTTCAACAAACTAGATCCTCAGATCATTCAATCAAGGATGTGAGAAGATGCGGGAAGGTAAGCGCGCAAGGAAGCGTCTGTGTTCGATGGTATTCCCCGCAGAAGGAGATGCAGGAAGAGGAGGAGGTACGTAAGGATGGCGCGTCTCAGTAGGACAGTCGCTCTAGCCATGCAGAGATCTGCAACTCTCTGCTATGTTTGTCGGGATAACAAGCATCGGTGAACAGCTGCTCCGTGACCAGAGCATCGACATTCCTCTCAGTCAAGGGGCTCTTGTACCGGTTCTTTTGCCTGAGGAGTTCTCGCTCAGCACGCGCAGAGGGCGATAATTTCTGGAGGGTACTGCGAAGGCGTCGCATGCCTCGACCTGGAAAATGTGGGATTCGGGGCGGTCCGAATGGTGTGTCGACTTTCCACGGATCCTCGGAGACTATGGACCGGGCGTTTTTCTTTCGCTGCAAGGAACGAAACTTGTTGGACATGGTAAGATTTCAAAGCCGCCGAAGGGTGATAGTATCGTTGGTGCCATCAAATGACGGGTGGTGCGTGATTGTGCGAGGAGGGGCGGGAATGGGAAGGGGAGAAGAGGCTGTGGCGTAATGAGGGAATATATAGTTTGCAGCCCTACTTAGTATGAACTGAATGCCCACGGGAAAGGGTCACCGGGGCAGACGTGGATAACGCGGCACCGCAGTGCGGGGGCACCCGTGGAGTGCACTAACTTGCACTAGTCTGAGCCTGTCTGAACGTGAATGAGGGCTGCCTTTTTTGCCCTTTTCTTTTCGTCTCGCCTCGAGTACGGAGTACTCGGACGGGGTTTCCCAAGGACTCCGGGAGAGCGCCACTGCAATGATCTACAGCTCCTCAGGCAGATTGCAAATCAGCCCAAATGAAATCTCAAACTATCGTGATCCTCTACCCAATACTTTGCAAAAGACACCGCCAAAAGAAAGAGAAAAGCTAAAAAGTTAGTCCGAGCAACGTCATAAGAAAACTTGGCTAATTTTCACCCGACCAAGTGTATCCCACCCAAAGTGGAGGGTGGATCTGCCACTTGTAGATCTTCTCCCACATCGCGCCCTAAACCCAAGCACATCCACAGAGCCAAGGGTTAGTCTGCATTTGCTTTCATCTTGGCCATAGAGGCAGTGCGAACATCCTTTACTACGTGTATGAGCTCTGCCCCACCATAAAGAAAAGTAGTGCCTATCTGTGAAAATGTGCCATACCTACACTAGCTGCTGCACCTTTTTTGTTTTCATGTATTATGCCATGCACATATTATTCCGCTGTCATTGACTGCCTCACAGATTGCTGTTGATGGACTCTACTAGTACTACTACTAATGTCACTGTCTCCTTCATTCCCGCCCCTTTTACCCTTAGATACTATCTACTACTCCGCACCAGAAAATCCTTCAGGATTCATGCATGTCTTGGGGCTTGGCAAAAAGCGAGTCTGCTTGAACTACATCGCCTCCAAATGCTTGTCCAAGAAAGCGGGGGGTGGGAAGAGGCTCGCGTCCACTACTAGTGAGCAGAAGCGAAGCGAAGCGAAAGCTTCGATGCGATTCCGCGGAGTATCTATTTCCCTTCTCTCTCCTGTAGAAAGTTATTTGTTGCTTTGATGTGGATGACATCTCAACAGGCTGAAAATTATAAAAAGCAAATACAGATATTCTTCAACCATGATCATCTTCACCATCACACCAATCGCCTCGTCCAGCCAAACTACTCTCTGCATCACCACCACCACCACCACATTCCAGTAACCCCCCGACAACCAGAAGAGAATCAATCAATGCGGTAGAATGGAATGCGCCTAGAAGCACCAAAGAAGACGGACCACATTTGCGTGCGGGGTAAGAACCTAACACCGATAGCCGCATCTAGACACACGGCTATTACACGCATCCATCCAGTTTAGGAAAAAGCCGAGAAATGGCCGTACATAAAGTACACATTCCATCAATATTTGGTGGAGATGTCGGATGTGCGGCACTTTTTTTTTTGGACTCCATCGTCGATGTTGCCGTCGCCACCACCTCAACCTTTTTCCTGTATCAGATATTGTTTATGTTGTGTTGGTTAAGTGATGGTGAGGGATTCGGGTTTTAGATGGTGCGCTAGATACAAAGTCGAGGCTTGGGATCGTCGCGCTGATTGACTTTCTATCATGAGAGTCGGCCGCGAGAGAGGGAAGGAAAGAAAAAAGTACGACATTGTTGCTTGGCTCGTGCTTGGCTGGTCTGGGCTTCAAGTGTCATCATGAATAGTTAGGAGCTGTAGGTGTAGTAAGCAGATGGGCTGTCATGGGGAAGTAGGTTAAACTTTATTAGGACGACCGTATAGGTGGGGAGGAAATACTCTTTGGGGCGCATTGTTGTCTTCCATGGCTTTGGTCAGGAGTTTCTCATGTTATTAAAGGGGAATGTGGGTTGGAATGCTGTTATGGGCTCAGTTGACAACCTCAGCGCGTGATCTTCTGGTAAGATCATTGATAAGTTTTGTGAACAATAATAGACTCTTCTAGATTCTATCTAACATGGCAGACTTGCAGACAATCGTTCCATAATACATTGCCAGGCAAATCAAAATGGGATTATCTTAAAGACAAAGCCCGCGCTCAAAACATAACAATAACCGTTAACTCGCATTGGACCAGCCCGCCTACCTGAAACGATGACCTGAAGTGCCCAGAGTACCAACGAAAAGCAAAAACCAACAGCACCGGGCCAAACCGTTCATTACTAGTTCATGATATCGAAATTTCGCACGCCAATTGATCCCCGTACCTTACAAAGGAGACATCATGAGTGACTGTGAAAAAGGTGAAACGAGAGAGCCGGCCACCATCACCCCTAGGAAATAAGCAAGTCCTTAACGCTCATCCCGATCTTCCTTTGTGGGTCCTGGGTGGGGGGATTCCCATGCCGGGTAGTGGAATTGGTGGGCACGTCGTGGACCGAGCCGACAGATCCCCGGCAGTCCCGGTTCAGCATTAGTAGGGCAGCGGAGGCTTCGTGATCCACATCCGCAGAAGACGCCATGGAATACCTAGGCTGGATCACTGGGGAGGTGCTGGAAGAAGACATAGCCCATGAGCCACGCTCAGAGCGGGACGGATTGTCGGTTGGGTGGGTTGGGCCCAGTGCCGGGCTTGGTGTGATGGACGAAAAATTGGGTGCATTCCCGGTAGGACCACCACTTCGGGGAGAGAACACTGGGGAGATTGCATCCGTGGCAGCATCGGTGGGAAGTAGTTCCGGAGACACGGAAGCCGATGAAAGGCCCGACTCTTCCGCCAGAGCCTCCGGAGACGTTGGTGAAGGAGGGGCAGGAGGCATTCGCGGCGAGGCAATTGTGTGTCGATTACCGGCAGTTTTCAGATCGAGTATACATTGTTCCAGGTAATTGACGTAATCAATACTTGCCTAGGTCATCGGGTACGGTTAGCGACCGGCTTAAGGACAGGGGTCGTCGAAGACTGAGGTTGAGACAAACCTGTAAAATGGCGAGTTTGTGCATATCCTGTCCTTTGCACGCCGGGATCATGTCTTTCAGGGTTCCAAATTCTTCATTCATTTTAGACCTCCGCCGCCGTTCGATCAAACTGTGAGCTGTTTTTCTAGCAATCTTTCGGCCCGCTGCACTAGTTGCGCTGGGTTGTTTCTTTTTGGAATTTGTTGAGGCTCCATTATTTGCTGGCGTTTTGCCATTCTCTTTTGCGGATGCTTTGTTGGCTGCTGCGGTCGGCTTTGGCGGACTTTGCGTCTTGGGCTTCATCTGGATAATTTTGCGAGTGCGTGTGGGGGGTGGTGGAAGGTTAAAATCTTCGAGAGGTCTCTTGACACCAGTCTGACGCGGGGAATTTGCCATAATACCCAGTGCAGGATTCGGCGATGCTGGAGACGCTGGAAAGGAAGCGGATGGATCCGACTTGGATGGCCTTCTGCTAGCAGCTTGCATCTTGGATGGACTAATGGCAGCTGGGGGCAATGCGAATGGATCTGAAGCGTCCACCGATGCATTGTCTTTGACTATGAACTCCCCCGACATGGCAGGGGTTGGTGGTAGACGAGAGCGTGACATGGCCTCTGTGGAAGTGAAACGCTTAAAGTCAACCCGATGATTACTCTTCCATTAGACGGGCTAATAGGGTGGATGGTCAAGTCAAAAAAGTAAGATTGGACCAATGGTGGAGCAATGTTGGATGACAACCCGTTGAAAGTCGTACAGTCGTAAGCCGTCAAAGATGAAGAAGATAGGGGAAGTGGGATAGGATAGGACAAGAGAGGAGAGGCAAAGGGAAGAGGTAGTAGTTGGACGGGCAAGAAGCAGAAATGGTTATTGAATCTAGGAAAAAGCAATATGACAAGAAGTGAACAGCTGGTGCCGGAGAGTTGGGGCTCCTGCACAAAGGAAGACGCACGGATAAACGCCCTGCCAAAGTGTTGGTACCTGGGTTAAGTTTATATGAATGAATAGGGAGGGGAGAGGCGACACAACGAGGCAATAGTAGGACGGAGGTAATAGGTCGGGGGGAAGTGGGCTTGCGATAAGAAACAGGTACTTCTACGGTGTAGTGACTAAAAGTAGTGGTTACTTTTTCCCAAATTCTAATCGGGATGATCGACGAGGGAGAGGGGGGGATTGGCGTTGAATTCTGGATTTTCGGGAAGCTTGCTCATTACCTATCTAGTAAGTAGTTGCTGTTTGCTGCAGCCAGTATGCGCATACACCTCTTTCAGTACTACCTTAGTAGAGTTGAGACCCGAGTACTAGTAGGAGTAGTACTAGGAGTACTTAGTAGTATAACCGTGGATGGGCCTGGGACTGGCCATCCCGAAACGGAGGGCCATTCCAAGTGTCGCGTGCTTAAAGAAGCCCACGCGGTAGATTGCTGGCCCGTCATTGGCCCAACAGCACCGCCGGATGGGGGGCACGAGACCGGTTGCCTGGGGCCAAACCGCCGACGCTTTTGGGGCTCGTGCTTCGGTCCAGAGTTCTTATGGGTTGTACGAAGCTGCCGGCTCATGTCCCTTACTTTTCGAGTCCTCTCTTCCCCTACTCACTACCAGGTACCTAACTCAAGGTACTCCGTGGACTACTCACCTTGTGGTCTATCTAGTCTAATTGCATACTACTACTATGCCCCCCCTCTTCTTCATGAATTCGGAAATCCCCACAAGCCACGGGTGCCGGAGTGATACCTCCTAGGTACTACTAGATACCAAGCTGCTCCCAATTCCGACCTGCACTTGTCAATTTACTAAAGATGGGGTTCAGATCCCCTACTCCTTTAAGCCTGACTACAATCTAGATAAAATTGCGGAATGGACCACGCTCACGCACACGACACGCTAATTGGTGCCGTTAAAGAGCGCAGAGGCTTGCGTCGCCACCGGGCTGACCCCGGATCCTTTTCGATTGATACCAGTCTCATAACTTGCCGAAATATCTCTCAATCTTCAAGCAATGCTCGGGTTCCTCAATGTGACAGAACCCAGGCAGGTGAAGCGAGGGGAAGTGGGCAGAGGGAAATACCAGTCACACCATGAATCCTCATCGACTTCACTCACTATCGTCAGGAATCGAAGGTGTCCATAAAGTGGATCTGTCTAATATCCCAGACCCGCAAAGCCTGAGAATACGTCTCGGGACTCAAATGGTCATGATCTCACCACGACCGCTTGTCGAAGCCTGGCGACGTTCTCGTCCAGAGGGGGCATTGGAGCACGTGCAAGCCGTCCTCCCAACCAGTGGACCCTCCTGCCACACGGGGTCGCATGTGCATGTCGGCCTCTCTCTGGTCCTTTCCCCTTTGGTATTCGGACAGACAGGTCCTCTCTGCTGCCCGGGAACTCTCCGCATCATACTCGTTATGCTCAGCTAGGCCAAGCGCCCGAGACACGCCCCAGTTGCTCCATTGTTACCAACCTTGCCGTCTTCTCCATTGGCCGCCATGCCAGCTCATTCACCATTGTTATCGTCCTCGCATCCCTTTAATTACCTCTTGCAAATTCTCAAATCCCAATAGCGGGGCAGAACAACCACACGGAAGCACATGCCCCGCAATGCACCTGTAGTTTCTGCATGGACTGTCGCTTGTCACGGTAAGCAAACTTTTCTCTCTGTTGCTATTCGATTGGCTCTGGCCAATCGTATCTATCGGACAATGCGATGCTCTTCGTGCCGCATCTCTCTCCCCCCGACTTATGTGCTGCTTCGTAATTGAAATGGGATGATCCGAAGCGGTTTAGTACGATTAGACGGCCGCTTGGTGCAACAGCTGAGGTAACACCCCACTACGCGGTTGTGTCTTGGCTAGCTACTGGTATACGTGGAGATACTTGATCACACGTGGAGTGAATAGTTAACTCTGGAATAGCCTGGTGCGTACTGGCTGGTACCAGACAGGACAGTCCGTCACGTTGGCTTACACCCCAACAGCTCTGATTTCCAACAGACCAATACTAATGACAGCATATATTTCTGCTTGACTGATATGATACTAATTGGAAAGATTGCCTATTCACAGTGCACCCCCATGGTGGCTGGGTGGTGAGCGCAGTTCCAGTCTATGCGGCACTACCTCAAGTAAACAGTCTCTGAAGAAGCACCTCACCAAAGGTGTCTTCCACCGGAGAACCATCCATTCTCCACACGCGGTTACCAGCCCTCAGGCTTAACCACAGGCCATGATCACTTGCGCTCTCCTCATCGGCCTCGATGCGGTGCCGGTTCCGTCGGTCGACAACGCACAAGCCCCGCGTCCACTGACCAGTAGTCTCAATGCGAATGTCTTCTGGTGACGTTGCTGAAGGTTTCCACCCGTCATCTTCGGCGGTCATAGCATACCAGACACATACAGGGTCGTGCAGACTAAGGTCCGCGGCATCGCCCACGTGCCCCGGATGCAGTCTCTCCAGTGTACGGAAAGTATGAGCCATGAAGGCCGACACCCATTCAGCCAAAGGCGATCCACTCTCCAGAAGCGGCGTAATTATCTGCCGGAACTGGCCTTGCGTCACACCATGTCTCAGCGTAATATCGAGGGGAAACGTGCGAAGAGTGAGCTGTTTGCTAAGGCTCGGAGGATATTCGGGGAGACTCGTTGCGGGCGGCAGAGTACTTCTGGGAGAAGGGGACGTGAGAGCATAGACTCTTGCTGCCGCAACAGCGTCAGCGTATGTGTTGAACTCTGCAGCTGGGGTAACCTAGAAGATGTCAGCATCCCATGACTCTTTTCAACCCCAAACGGGGTAATGTTCAGGCCAACGCGCACGTTTCCAGGTTTGTTGATTGCTCCTCCCATCACCACTACCTCTTTGACGCGGAGGAAAGTTTCCGGGTCAGCAGCAGATGCCAATGCAAGATTAGTAAGGGGACCGACTGCCACGAGGGTGACGGTGTCAGCATCGTTTTCCCTCAAGACACGGAGAATCTCCTCGTGTGCGGGACGCTTGGAAGGAATGAATGAGCGATGAGCCGGATCTCCCTCCGGGACAGGTTTGATCTCGCGGGAATCAGAAGAAGGGTCGAAGAGATGCTCCCAAGCTTCTTTGGGGGTGAGGTGGGGATGCTGAGAATTCGTGTGTTAGCAGTCTTGCAAGTTTTGTAGTTTGTAGTTCTGCGTGCTTCACGTACACTGGCATGAATACCTCCCAAGCCGTCCGTACCGTCTAGAGAAGGGTTAGCATGGCGGGCTTGATGAGCAAGACTTGCCATTTGCGAAACTCACGGAAGTAATCTGCAAGCATCTTTTGGTCCTCCAAAGGATCCTCTGCACCCACAGCAACGATTGGAGGAGAAGCGCGAAGAGTACCAAAACCTTCTGGCCGACCTTGCTCTCGACGCCATTTCATCTCCCGCTCCAGGATGTGGAACATGGAGACAACATTGCGCAGGCAGCTATCTGAGTGAGTATAGGGCGTACTATCGCGCGACGGACGGCGCAAGCTCACCTTTTCACCTCGATGTTACCAAAAGTAAGCGAAATTAGCAGAACCTCAACATCCTCAGGCTCGGCAGAAAATGCCAAAAGAAGGGCAAGAATGTCATCAATACCCTGTTTGGATTATCAGCACAGGTTGTAACTAGCAAACATCCTGAAGCAGAAGTGGAGCTCGGATGGGATCATCATTGAAAGGAGTGAAGAACATACGGGATCGGTATCGATGATGATCTTTTTCGGTGCCATTGCTACAGCTTCAGCTCGCGTGCCGGATTTGCCACTATCCAATCAAAGTATATTGTTTTTGTGGTACAAACCGAGTTGGGTTTTGCTGGAGAATTTGCAATGACGCGGGTTTCGGGCGATGGAGGGGAAAGTGGGATGGTCTTGGCCGGCGTTATCATGACTTCTCCACTTCCAGCTATCTGTCCGAGTCCCCGAGCAGCAACTGAATACTAAGTAGACTCACGAACGGATATGCTATTAGTCATGCCGACTGTCCAAGATAGCTAGCTAGCTATCTAGATAGTTAACTATCTAAACTACGTACATACTGAGCGATCGAAAGAATCAATCGCTTCCTGCATTGCTCTACCATACTGTGGAGCTGACATGGGGTAAGAGCTAGTCCTTACAATAGACACAAGTGAGGATGCACGTCGGTCGAAGTTATTATCCCCGAAGCATGGGGTGTTGCATGGATACCTACAGGGCTAGCAGCATCAAGCCAGTCTTCTTTAGAGCTTCTCTTCTCCGAGAGATGGTCGGACATTGGAACAGATTCAGGAGCTCGTAGCGAGCTCGGATCATCTGCCCTCCCAGCATTGATGTCAGCAGGCACAATGCGTGTGTAACT